GATCTGGGAAAGAGTGGGGACGGCTCTATTCCTGGAGCCATCTGATCGGGTAAAGACGGCAGAAAAGTTTGGATAACATTGAATGGGAGAAAGGGAATATTACAAGATTGTACTGCATTTTCCCAGGAGTCTGGGAAAAGAAGGAAACAGAGCAAGAATCGTTAATGGGAAGCTGACGTCCGACTCTGATATATCTGATACGCACAATCACCAGTGGTGGTAGAGAAGACTCCTAATGACACCCAACTCCATCTTTCTTCACTCCTTCTCTTGGGCATCCCAGGGCTGGAAGATGTGCACGTCTGGACTGGATCCCCCTTTCGTGTATACTGTTGCTTTCCTGAGGAATGCTGCTGTCTATAATCCAGACTGAGCGTACTCTCCACGAGCTCATGTACTGTATTCTAGCCATGTTGGACTCTTATTGACCTGGACTTGTTCACGGCCACCATCCCTAAAATGCTGGGCATCTTCTGGCTCACTCTCAGGGATGGAGATATATATCTATAGATATAGATATAGTTTTTTACTACATACATATATACATATATATAGTAAAAAAAAAAAAACCAGTTTATCTTCTTAACCATTTTTAAGTGTACACTGCAGTACTGTTAACTATACGCATTGTTGTGCAATGGGTCTCTAGAACATTTTCATTTCGCAAAACTGAAACACTATACCCATTGAACTCCCATTTCCCTCTCCCCCAAACCCCTGCCAACTATCATCCTACCTCCTGTTTCTATAGACTACTTTAGATACCTCATATAAATGGAATCATATAGTATTTGTCTTTTTGTGACTGGCTTATTTCACTCAGCCTAATATCCTCATGTGTCAGTTCTTTACTTTTGTGGCTGAATAATATTCCACTGTACGGTTAACCACATTTTGTTTATTCATTAATCAGTTGGAGGACATTTAGGTTGTTTCCACTTTTTGGCTGTTATGAACAATGCTGCTATCAACATCTGTATATAAGGTTTTGTGTAGACACATGTTTTAACTTTTTTGGGGTACATACCTAGATGTGGAACTGCTGGGTCATGTGGTAACTCTGCTTAACCATTTGAGGAATTGCCAGACCATTTCCCACAGTAGCCGTACCAGTTTTACATTCCTACCAGCAGCCTGAGTATATGAGTGTTCCAATTTCTCCACATCCTTGCTAACACATTATTATCTGACTCTTCTAGCCACTCTTTTGGGTGTGAAGTGGTATCTCAGTTGTTTTTATTTGTATTTCCCTAATGGTTAGTGATGTTGAGCATTGGCCATTTGCATATCTTCCTTGGAAAAATGTCTATTCAGATCCTTCGCCCAGTTTAAAGTTAGGTGGTCTTTTTACTGAGTTACGAGTTATTTATATATTTTAAATACAAGTCCCTTATCAGATATATGAATTGCAGATATTTTCTCCCATTGTGTGGGTTGTCTTTTCACTCTTTTTAATATAGGCAAATCACAGCTATTAATTTCCCTCTGGTCACTACTTGACTCCATAAGTTTTGGTATGTTCTGTTTTAGTATTTTTGGTGTTGTGTACTTGTTTTCAATCATCTCAAAGTATATTCCCTTGTGTGTGATGAGTCACTTGTGTCTTGCTTTCAAAATTCTTTGTCTTCTGAGAGTTTGATTATGATGTGTCTAGGTATGGATCTCTTTGACTTTATCCTACTGGTAGTTTGTTGAGCTTTATTGATATATAGATTAGTATTTGTCATCAAATATGCAAAGTTTTGAGCCATCATTTCCTCAAATATTCTTTCTGCCCTTTCTCGTCCCCTCATGTCTGTGCTGCACAGCGTGTCGTAGGTCTCTGAGCCTCTGTTAATTTTTCTTCATTTTCCTTTCTATTCCTTGGATAGGTTAATTTCAACGGACCTATCTTCAAATTTGCTGATTTTTTTCTGCTTGGTCATGTCTGCTGAGCCACTCTAGTGAAATTTTTCTCTCAGTTATCGTACTTTTCAACTCTAGAATTTCTATTTGGTTCCTTTCTATAAGTTGTCTCTTTACTGACATTCTCTATCTGGTGAGACACCATTCTTATCTCCTCTAGTTTGTTTGTTTGTTTTCTTTCTCCTCTAGTTCTTTAGATATGGTTTCCTTTAGCTCTTTGAACGTATTTTAAATAGCTAACTTAAAATCTGGTACTAGGATAAGTTAAAAACTCTAAAAAGCTTTCTGTTCTTACCAAGATTCTACTGTCTTTCTTGACTGAACACTCTCTGGGTTACTGAAAGCCTTTGGTTAATTTCCAGAGTTTAAGGTTGATTCTGATTATATATGGCAGACTTTTCATTGATCTTAGAGAGAGCAAACTTTCGGTGGTTCTTATGGGACCATTTTTGTTGACCCTTTGCTTGGATTTTGATTCAAATAAACTATGGAAAAATACTTTTGAAACAACTGGTGGGAGTCCCCACCAGCTGTTGTGGGGACACACGTGTGTCCCCACCATGTGGCCACATGGGTGAGGATTCCAGACTTTCACTGCTGTGGCCTGGGTTCAATCCCTGGTCTGAGAACTGAGATCCCACAAGCTGTAGGGTGCAGCCAAACAAACAAAACAACAACAAACAAACAAAAAACCAACACACCTGGCAAAAACTGAACACAGACTGGTTATCAGATTAAAAATTTTATTTTGTTGGATAAGAAAATTGTATATTCAAGACCCTATTATCTGTTAGAGCTACATAGTGGTGGTTAGAGTTTTCTTTGATTTGCTCTCAAATACTCCAGCTTACATGCAAAAGTATGTGTGGGACGAGAGATATGAAATAATGGCACATGTTGATGGTTGTTGGATCTGGTTGATGGGTACATGGAGGTTCACGTACCATTTTATTTTTATGTTCAAAAATTTCTATAATAAAATTTTTTTTTAAAAAAAACAGAAGCGGTACCCTTGGGTCCAGATAAGGCTGCCTTGAACTGGGAAAAATTAATTTAGTCCCATACTGGCCTTGGGTGGAAGGGAGTAAAACAATGTCCTGGAAGATAGAGTGTGCGTTAAGAGAATAAAGGCTAACGTGATAGAACCAGTCAGGTACTCTCAGGATAAAGTTATACAGCAAGTAAAGACATGTAACTATCTCTGTGTCTGGAAGGCAAAGGAACTGACTGGTCAAATCCATGCTGGTCCTTGGCCCCAACTCCCAAGTCTGGTGGTCTCCACCACATCCCAGGGGGGTGGAAAAGATTTCTATCCTGGGGCTAGCAAAAGAAGTGTTCCTGCCCGAAACCATTCCGCCTGGCTTGCCCAGCACTATGACCAAGACTCGAAGCTGGAGCTAATAAGCATAGGGTGACAGACCTCAAAGGGCAGAGGCCTGGGATGAGGTAGGCTTCTGTCCTCCTAAGTGACCCACAGCCTCAAGACACCAACTGGGGAAAGGGAGCTTCCTCTGATGACCCCAGACTCAATCAGTGAAGCTCCAGAAATCTTAAATTACACTATAAAATGTACGTTTGTGAGTTGTTTATAACATACTCCAAATACAACGACCTTAAACCCTGAGGGAGGGAACATGGGAGATCCACCCACAAGAGTTCCCACAGGGCAGGACCGTGCAAAGCCTGAGGCACTGGGTGCTCCCACATTCAAAGCACAAGGAGAACGTACCTAGCCTGGTCTGCTGCCAGCTTTCCAGAGGGGAACAAGAGCCACTAGGGAAGACAGGTGCCCTGAGGCCTTAGCTAAAAAGAGGGCTTGGGAAATAGGAACCAAAGGAAGGCAGTCAAGAACCTGCCATTCTTTACTTTAATACCCCTTTTCCCTACGAGGAGGTGCAGGATATATATTTTAAGACACAAAGAGCCCCTGGACCTTTCTTTGCACATAGCTGAGGGATCTGAAACTCCTCTGCAGCCAGGTTAGGAGAGGAGAAACTAAGGGAGGAGCTGGGGGCACTGGTGGGCAGAGGACAAGCTACACAAGCCCTGTGGGAGAAAGGCAGAGCTGACTGCCCTCAGCTGCACCCAGCCCAGGAGCGTCAGCAAGCGAAGCCCTGTCAGGAAGGGGAAGAGGAGCTGAAAGAGGCTGAAGACAGTAACGCAACGTTCCTTAGCAGGTCAAGGGCCTTTCACTGTGCAGCAGAGGGGCTGCTGAGTGCGGGTAGTAGCTGGCAGACCCTGTAACGTCTGAATGGGGTGGGGAGGAGGGCCTGGGACCATCACTAGTCCGCCTCACTGTGCCGTTACCACCACCATGATGCTGGGCACAGCAGGGATGACTGGGGCGGGAGGCAGGCCTGGCATGACCAGAAGTACAGTCTGCAGGTCGCGGTGGAATGAGGGGCCAGCAGAGGCCATACATCTTCCATGTGAGGTGAAATCTGAAACCAGCACCTTGTGTAGTGCCACCCAGAGTCCCCACCTGATCAGCCCATGGCCCCAGGTCCATATTACAACTACTTGACTGAAGAACAGCTTTACTGGTGACCCGAAGGAACCAAGGTCACTCCCAGGCAGCGTCAGCCCGTAAGGCCTTCTCCGGGCAGGAAAACCGATCACATAATTCATGGGACTTCCCGACAAGAGGTCAGAGCTCCACTCCTAATTTTAAGAAAATTCCAAATCCTGATTTCAGAGTCAGGAAAAAGGTCAGAGGCTAGAATCCTGACAAGTATCGGTGCCTCTGCCTATGGGGGCTGAGGAGGCTGGCCAAGTTGTTCAGCAACAGCCACGGGGCTGAGCAGATGAGGTAGAGGCCAGAAAGGCCACAGGAAGTCTCCCCAAGACAAGTTTCCAAGAGGCTTCACACTCGTTCAGGGCGTAGAACCCGGCCCTGACGTTGCACTTTGCGTCTGATGGGTAGCAGAAGACCCCACCTACCGGCCCTTGGCACGTGGAACCTCCGTGGTCTGGGCTCAGTGGTGCTGCCACAGCCTGTCACACGTCCCAGCTCCTCACTGCTGGGGCGTCCCCAGCTTCCTGATAGGATACAGGTACCACATCACCACCCCGGAGGGATTGATGATCAGTGTGAAGTTGGTTTTATCCTGGAGGCCACTGATGATGTCACCCGTGTAGACGTTCTGGGCCTGCAGGGGGGAGGACAGCACTATGCCACCCTAAGAATGGCTGCACAGGGACAAACCCCCACCCCCACGCCCACTCCAGGGGATGTAAGAGCCTGCACTTTGGCCTGTGTTGAGCCTCCAGTATGCCCTACAGAAGTGGGAGCCTGAGTCCCCATCACTTCCCCTCTGGCAAAGCCAACAGATGCCCAAGTACTGGCAGTGGTGAGGGCCCAGCCCACCAAGAACCTGAGAAATGTGCCAGCAAGACTGAAGAGGGGAAACACGCGGCCTCGGCGGCTGACGGGACTCATTTACACACGGTAGTTCGTTTGTGTAGCTTGAAAACACCAGTGCAGAGCACAGCACCAGCCAGAGGACCCAAGGCCCATGGCTTAGGGGACGGTGTGCGAGTGAAGGGGCCCCTGTGTGAGTAGGACCCAGCAACACCCTCAGGGAAACCCAACGCGCTGCAGGTAGCAGGGCACTCACCTCGTACACCTTGGAGCTGGTGAAGTTCAGCCGGGCGAGCGAGGTCCGGTAGGGATACGGCACGTCTGTCCTGCGGCTGAAGAAGACTATAGCGCTGGCCTCGCTGGCCAGGGGCCGCACGTACACCTCAATGTGGGATTTCTCCTGGCGCAGAACATGGCTTACTGGCTGGGGTCCCTGCTCATCAGGCCCTGAAGCTCCCTTCCCAGCCCGCCCTTGAGCTCTGGGTCTCGCCAGCCCAGAGTTCCGTGTCAGGCAGAAGCTTGGAGGGGAAACCACAGCCCTCCAGCACCCAACTCGTCTAACTCCACCTTCCTTCCTTCCTTCCCTGACTCAGCAGACGCTCCCCAACACTTACTCTGTGCCAGGCCCCACGCCAGGACACAGATAAATGCTGCATGAGGTCCCGTCTCAGAGAGCTTTTACAGGATAACGGGAGAGACAGATGTGGACAGCCCCTGGCACTGGACTGGAGGGCACCGTCCAGTTAGAACGATGAGCTCTGCCCTGAGCAGCCAGGAGGGTGAAGCCACAGCCTCCAGAAGGCCCCTGGGCCTGGCTCCACCATCAGCCCCTCTGGCAGGATTAGTTATCGCCTCTGGGCATCACCAGTTCAGCACGTGCTT